TAATAAACAGCATGCATCAGTCTCCAGCCATCAGGCCACTTTCCCAACGGCCGAGAGCTACTGGGGGTGGTCAGTCCTGCTCAGCCCTGCACCAGAGCCCAGGTCTTCTGCCGACAACAGGGCATCTGCTCCACGTTGGAAATGACAAGAACAAAACCAAGCCTGAAACAGCCCTGTAGCTAAAAGCCACAAAGCGGTGCGAAGCAGCTCTATGTACCCCATTTACAAGGCAGGGTGCTCGCGTGCCCTGTGGGTGCTGCCACGTAGAAGCCACCAGCACCAGCATTTTCAAGCTGAGCAGGTCAAAAGTACAGCAAGGACAGCAGAGCCCCAGCCCTGGCACCGTGGCGGCTCCCCACTCACCGGTTGGTGAGCCACGGCAGGTAGCTTCTGCCCTCCAGCAGCGCCGTGTTGAACCAGCCATAGCTGAAAATAGACAAGGAGAAGAAGCTGTAAGGACTCGCAGCAGCTTGACACAAGCAGCCACCTCATGCCCTGGTGTTCCCAACAGCCGCTGCAGCTCCAGGACTCCAATTCCCCTTTGCACAACAAGTGTGTGTGATTTTTTCCCCTCTGTTTACAGCATAAAACACCTTTCTGCTTATTTTCTTTCCCCAGTTTGCCAATATCTGGTGAAGTAAGAGACAGGCTGGAACGGTTTATATGCTGGGCTGCTGATTTTTGGTTTGTTTGAGCAGTTTCCTACTTCTTTTAAGGGGAACGGCCATAATGAAGCAAGGCCACTTCCGTGCCAGCCGTTTCTCATCCTCGCCGCCCCTCAGCAGCGGAGTGCTCGGACCACCCGACCGTATCTGTCCTGCCTGGGGGAAAGCACAGCAGCAACTCTCTGGAAAATGGACTGCAAAATACCTGTAACCAGGGAAGAGTTCAAGCTCTTTTGGTGTCAAGTTTCTGAATCCCAGGACAATGTTCTTCCAGGGGGGGTCCTGCAGGAGGGGAAAATGTCTGAGCTCACTAATGAACCTGTATTGCTGTGCCCTCGCAGGATGGAAGCTGTGAGGGGCACAGAGCCCACCGCAAAGGAGGACCAGAGCACACTGCAGCCAGCCAGGCTCTGCTGACTCCCACTCTCGGAGGGCTCAGCCCTTACCTCATACCAGTATCGCACTGGGGGCACAGAAAATATCGTGTCCCAGGCAAACCATCACAAGACAGGCTTGGAAGGATTTGGAAGCATTCAGAGGATCACTGGGGAAGATGCAGAAGCCCGCCTGCCCCCGGGCAGCCTCCAAGCTGGAGCCCTTCCCAGCCCTGGCTTGCTCCTTACCGGCACTGGCTGCGTAAACAGGTTGTAGCCAGAAATTAGGAAAAGTCCCATTTCCTTTGCTGCCGGAGAGCCCAGGAGCCCGAGGAGGTAATCAAATGTCTCTTTGTTCCAGATCCTGTGATGAAAACAGGAGAGTGGTGGCTCTGCCCGCCCCATGGAGCCGTGCCCAGGCACCCCAG